TACGGAACATCTTGTCATTATATGTATTACAACATAACTTTTAATGACTGCACAATCAGCTGTAGTTTTCTGTCTATCTTTGTATCTTTTTTATTCCTGCTTTAAAGTGGGTTGTGTGTGTGTGTGTGTGTGTGTGTGTGTGTGTATGTATATAGAAGGTATATAACACATTTTTATTACAAATTATAAATCTATAGTGTGTCAAATTATATGAAGAAGAGCTTTTCAACTTGTGTTCCAGAAATTATGTACAATAAGATACACACTATCTCCCCTTGGGGAGAAGATTGAGGACCTCTGTGTGTGTGTGGGGGGGGTGGGAGGGTGGAAGAGGGTTTAAACCAGATTCTTAAATAAGTTGGTGACCCCTCCCCAAGGTATTTGGGAGCCATTAAACACATTTTCTAATTTAGGGGGAGTGAACTAATGAAAAAGCTTGCATATATGAAGAGGCTTCTGTGTTATAGACAGGGACGTAACCATTTCTGTCCGTAGAAATCTCTTTACCCTGAAGCCCTCTGCTGCTATTAGGGTGGGATCTCAGCACTGTGGCCTTGTTCTTTTTTTTTCCCAGTAGCAATACTTTTTTTAGTATTCTCAGGGTTGCTTGAGAGACCCTAGTGAGAGGGTCTTAGCCTTGACATTATGTTCACCTTGAGGTTACTGGAAATATTTTTAGTATTCATTTAATAAATAATTGGTAGGTGCCTAGTATGTGCTTGCTGCTATTTTAAATGCTGGAGGTATAGCCGTGAAAAAAAAAAAAAGTCTGCCCCTTGAGGTGGTAGCATTCCGCTGGAGAAATAGTATTCTAGGTAAATTATGGTGTAAATTTTGCTGATAATAACTTTTTTTCTCTGTGTTTGTCAGAATGTTCTTAATTTCTAAAAATCCAATTAAAAATGGACTTTGCATTCCAACTTGCTTATAAACTGGCAACTATTTTAGGTTTCCATATTTATAAACAAAACAATGTTGGTGTTGATACATCCAACCTCCAATAAACATACATTTAGCACCTAATATATAGTAGGCATTTGTTAAGATCTAGAGACGCAGTGAGGACCACGACAGACAGATCCCTTTCCTCACAGAATTTATAGTCTGGGAAAGGGCTGAGGGGCAAACAAATGGCGAAACCTTCAATTGTTCTCCAGTGCGAAGGGGACAGGGAGGTGTAGTGTTCTATCAGAGGACTTGAAAGCACTTCTTAAAAAGACTTGGGCCATCTGGGAAGGTTTCCTAGCGTAATTGATGACTGAATAGTGAAAGACAGTGTAGGAGTTTTCAGAGTAAAAGGAGTGGGAGGAAGGACGTGCTTGTTGTACTCCCCAGAAGGAACAATGTAGAAAGGCCCAGAGGAAAGGGAAGCAAGTAGTATTCTAGGAACGGAGAAAATTTAGATGTGACCAGGACATAGTGTGACAGGATGCATAAGATGCTCTGAGGCCAGATCGTGAAGCACTTTGTGCTCTGAAGAACCTCACGGCAGTAGGAGGGAGTTTTAGCAGGATTAGGCTCACGTTTTAAAAAGATTTCTGCAGGAGTTAGCATAGGCAGTGAATGGGGGTAGTCTATGTGTAAGGACTGGAAAGAAGGAGACTGAATTAGGAATAGGCCCAGACGGTGGATAGGTTTCCCTAGAAAAGGTGTGTTTGACTAGACATAGATATTGGATGTAGGAAATGAGGAATTAGCTATGTGATTGACTGATGAGCCTTCCAGCTAGGGCAGCTGAGATTGGGAACTCAGAAAAGATGAAGAGGTATTTTGCGGAGCAAAGGAAAGAGAATGGGCAGTTAATTTTTTTCTTTAAATTGATTTTTAAGTTTTGTTTTTCTGAGCGTGAAAAATAGTTTCCATTTCGGAATTCTTTTTCTTTCTTCCTCAATTTTTCTGAAATATTAATAGGAAGTATTTTGGGGATATATACAGTAAAATAATTTATCAGTAAACATTAATTAGGTAAAAAGACCAAACTGGTCATTTTAATTTCTCTTGACCAATCCTTTCTTAACAATCATAGGGATTCATGATTTTTTCCTATGTGATTAAATATATTTTAATTGGAATTTATAATATTTGAATAGTAACTTTGTTAATAAACAGCATCCCAAATACCAAGAAACAAATCTATACAGAAAGGTATAGTTTGCCAAAACTAATGCTAGATTCAGAGAGCTGCACATACTCATTTGAGGTCTTCTGAATACAGATCACCTTTATGTTCTTCATTACATCCATGACAAGATATTCTATGTACAAACAAAGTTTCTTGGTGGGTTAAATTAAAGTGGTAAAGCCATTGTATAAACAGCTATAATCTTAGAAAGTAGAAGGCCTGGGTTAGGTTTGCTGGGAGCTTTGCTTGGTGCCGTGCTTAAGAGGACTGACCACAGCCCCAGCTTCAGTGAATGTCCCAGTGATAGATCTGAAGACAGAGGTTCTCTGTTGTCAGCCCCAAAATGCCATGTTCAGAGGTGAATCAGTTCTTGCCCTTCAGACTTAGTTTTTGTCTCTATTTTTTTCCTTCCCAGATGGGGCACTTCTTTGTTTTTAGGATCTATTTGGTATAGTGGTGAAGGAATGTTCTACATTAACCCCTGCTAACCCAGTTAGATGAATCACATCTCTAACTAAATCACAGTACCTCTGGAAATAAGAGGATGTATAATTTTATAGTGCTTCTAGAATTTTTAAAACATGAGAGGATAACAGTCAGGTTGTGTTCACCATCCCTTGCATTCTCCCTGTGGTATCTCATCATAGAAACAAACTAGCAAGATAACATTGATATCCTAGGTTGAGCAATTTAGGGGTCCTTTGATTTGGAATACAACTCCTGAGCCAAAATTTCAGGGTGCCGCAGACAGGAACTCCAGTGGTACTGATCTAGGCTCATGTTTAATGTCTTTCTACAAAGTAGAACAAGGAGACAGAATTTTAGAACTTTGGTGCTTGAAGACTTACTGGGAAGAGAAGGCTGGATATGTCTCCTTGTGGAACAAGTATTCCAAATATGTTTGTCAAAGACTGATCTAGATGGAGATTCTGAGTAGAATTTTGCATATAGAAAATGCCATATTAAAATAATTTGGAAGAAGCTGTTCATCTTTAATAAAGTTATTAGTTTAAAAACTGTGTGCATGTATGTTACTGTGTTGCTCCTTTGGTTAAAGCATTGAACACTCCAGCAAAACTATTTACAATTATTAACTAAAATTAATTTTTTGCTTTCTTTATATATACAGTTCTTCAGGAAGGAGGTATGTATGCATAATACTTTTTCCCAGGGTAAGGTTTGGTCATGAAAGGTTTTATAAACTTCAATTTATGTAATTTATGCATTGGGCAGCATCATGTTGAGTGGTAGAGTTGTTTCAGATTTATGAAATCTGTTCTTAAATTATCCATTTGATTATTATTGATGTCATCTGTAAATGTCATTTATGTGTTCTATTTAGAGAAACTTCATTATATTTAAAGGTAAAGGCTGTGGCCAGAAGTGTTGCATTCTGAAATTTTATAACTGAAATATTTATTTTAAAGATAACTTCCATAATATGTAATGTTTTATTATTAACTGCAATATAATTTTATAACATTCATTTTTGTCATATATTCTTGTTTTCTATATTTGACATGTTTATTCTAAAGAAAGTTCTCTGCTCCTGTAAGTGCCCTAAACTGAAGGAGGAGCCTTGCTCTGCTTTGCTTCATTCACATCATTCTTTGACTAGACTCCCTGGAACCTTTCCTTTGAGTATATGCTCCCTCCTCTTTTATCCAAGGCCCCAACAAGTATCACCCCATCTAGTTTTCCTGTCTTTACAGGATTTCTTAGCGTGTGTCCTACAAACAATCCTAGCTGTCCTGCCAACTTATGAACACATTCTGTACTTTCCCTGCCACGTTGTCCTTGTTCATTCTCTTCTTGGAACACCTGCCTTACTCATTCTATCTTTGCTTGCCAAACTCATACTAGGCTTTCAGTGTCTGCCCTGAATGCCTCTTTTCCCAAAAAGTTACGCTTTGGTCTCCACTTCAACTAATTTTCATCCTTTATTGTTTAATGCTCAGAATGTAGTCCTTCTGAAGCCTCCCCATTCTGCCTGTTTCTGAAGTAGTTTATGTGTATGTCTACTTGTACTTGATGGATTTACATGTAAATCTATCAATGGTAGGCATTGTGTCTTACTTTTTAATCTCTTCCAAACACCTATTGAAGCATCTTGCATGAGCAGTTACTGAGTCAGTGATCGATAAGGTAGATTGTTAACAACCAGTCACTTTAATATTCTTTCCAATCACAGTGATGCATCTCCAGTTCGCTACCTATTAATAGAGATTAATGTAGTTTTATTGAAAATAAGATTTATGTTATTTTTAGATTAGGTTGTATTCATAAAGTTGGCCGGGCGTGGTGGCTCACGTCTGTAATCCTAGCACTTTGGGAGGTCGAGGTGGGCGGATCATAAGGTCAAGAGATCGAGACCATCCTGGCCAACATGGTGAAACCCCATCTCTACTAAAAATACAAAAATTAGCTGGGCATCGTGGCACGCGCCTGTGGTCCCAGCTACTCAGGAGGCTGAGGTGGAAGAATCGCTTGAACCCAGGCGGCGGAG